CCTGTAGTTCCTTCATGGCCACTAAAAGAGTTCTTATAAAGCCTCTTTTAGTTCTAGGTTGTGAATTCAATGGGTGGTTTTTGTCTACATCTTGTGGTCAACATGTAGAACCATGCGTGTCTTTATCCAGTCTTGGGCCCCAGTAGTCCTGCCTACTTTCCAGGTCTAGTTTCAAAGTTTGCTTCCCTCTGTGTTCCACATGAAACACAACAAATATTGACTGGGCCCAGAGTCACTCAGTCCGGTGGATTTTAACCTCTGCTCTTCAGATCGCTGCAGGAACACACAGACTCCTTCTCTTCTGCTGCTTTTCTTTTGTTTGACCAAAGATATGAGTGTGTAAGCCTGGAAACATGAGGGGTTTGCTGCTACTGCTTCTTCTGGGCCTCCTGGCCCTCCATCAGAGCTCCTGCTTTGAGTTTGTGATAGACGGGGAATGGGAGGATGAAGAGGTGAGTCTGATGAAGGGTCGACTTAACATGAGCAGATGTCTCTGAGCTGCCGGCTTTCAGCTCATGGAGGTTCATGTTAGCTCATTTGATGACTGATCTTCACACAACAAATGATTTCATTTTACTTGATCTGTGTTTGCTTAAAAACGTTTCTAAGAACATTAAAGCTTTTGTATTCTTCACCTTTTTTTCATTGTCTTTCTCCAACAGCCAGAAGCTCCGGATCATCAGGAGAGACACAAGGTACCAATCTGTCATTGTTTCATGGTTCTACTCAGAAGCCGATTCAAAGCGAGAGGAGCGGCTGATTTAATGCTGACTGAAAGCAGCTGATGCGTTGTTTGTGTTCCAGAGAGCAACGCTGACCAGTGAGGAGGAGGAGGACTTTGAGGTAAAGACCACATCCACTGTGACAGAGTTGAACCTTATCTAACAATCAATGTTGGGCTGTTTGAAGAGATCCTCATGACAGGAAGGTTATTGACTCGTAGATCCATCTACGGCTGCTCAGCTCCGAGTGCAGGGTTTACATAAATTCTTCACTTTGTGGCAAGCTGGTCCTCCATCAGGATTATTCCATACACCAGGGGTGTCAAACTGGTTCCAGAAAGGGCCATGTGGCTGCAGGTTTTCTTTCCAACCAAGCAATAGCACACCAGACTCCAGTCATCTAATCAAGTCATCATGTTCAGATTGGGCTTACTTTATTAGATGACCATATACTCTGTGAACCCTCACCCCTGAACCACTGGCAGCAGAATAGGCCCACAGCATGATGCTACCAGCATGCTGGTTCTCATCTGACCATGTGGACAGCTTATTGGTCAGCACCACAGTAGCAGTCATTCAAAATGGTCCTTCCCAGTCAAAAGCCAGCCGAATGGAAGCAAAATCCCCTCCAACTTCCAGCCACTGGCCTTCTCCTGGGCATGCATATCTTTTTACTCTGACTCCACCACTTCACTGAATTCAGTGCATTCTCATCAGTTCGTATGAAATCATACGAAAAGTTATGCACAGTATTTCGTACATTTTTGACGTTTTTTTCGTCGTATTTCGTCGTATTTTTACGTCTTGCCTCCAGTCAAGATATCCGTGCGCATGCGCATTTTACGCACCATTCAATAACATAAAATTTAACATACAATTAACCCTAACCCTAACACATACAAAACAGCAAGCAACCTAGTGAGAGACATGAAGAAGTAATTATTGCGCTGTCCGTCCCAGTTTTACATCCGTCCGCGGATCTGCTTTTTTCGTCTGTCTGGCTGCGCATGCGCACTGATCTGTTTTTTCGAGGAAAAACATCAAAAACATACGAAATACTGTGCATAACTTTTCGTACGATTTCATACAAACTGATAATGAGAATATGTTGCTGAATTACAGGGTCTGGCCTTTAGATAACACTTCTCTTTAGATCTTAATGTCCACAAATCATGACTGAAAGAATATTTTAGATGTTTAAAATGGAATGGTATGGGACCAGCCAAGGACCAGCCAAAGATCAACCAAGCACCCATCAAGGAAAGTGGGGAAATTTTCAATGGCTTCCACTCTATCTCCAACTGATGGGCTGCGTTCTGAATCTGAACCAGACAGGGGCGTAAGTTTGATCTCAACTTTAGTAGGGACACTATTGGTCTCAAGTTGAATTGGTCTGATGTCATTGGTCCTAATCATTATGCATGCTCCCATTTTTATATGCTTGACATGAGCATACATTTATATAAAATTTTTATAAGCACTACACACACAAGATGCTGTTTATCAATGTTTGAAGCATCAGTGGCTCGGAATGATGTAAAATTGGGACAACTTAACACTTTGAAAAGGGTTACATTTCAATTTACCAGTTACTAAGATGGAAGGCAAATATGTGCCTTTTTAACCAAATATAGTCTAAATATGTCTGTTTATGTATTTATCTGGTGTTTTCTTTTGAAGAAATAGAATTGTGCAGAGGTAAACCTTTTTTTTTTTTTTATCTGATATGCTGACATTCTCTGTATTGTATAACAAAGCAAAATAACATATTCAAGGGACTGCAAATATTTATTGTATTTACATTGGCGCGGGAACTATAAGAGGAACTGACACAGCATTTAAAGGATTAACTTTAATATACAAGTTGTGAGAAAAGAAACAACTTCTGCAACAACATTGTATTGTAAATTATAAACATGTTATTCACATAAAATTATTGGTAGGGACAAGTAGATCTGGCCAAACTTTTGGTAGGGACATGTCCCTATGCACACCTACACTTATGGAACCAGACTCCTTTAATCTGAAGGGTTTGGATCATTGTCCAGACCTGCATCATTGTCCCTTAATAAATCATTGTTTAGAGCTGTGTCAGCCTTTAAACGGTCTGCATGTTGCTCTGACACTAACATCTCGTTGACGGCATTTTGTTTGAAGATTCTTGCATATTTGCAGACAGCTGCTCCTCAGTTGCTCGTCTCTGCCTCTCTGGATCTTTAAAGTGTGATGGACATCATCCTTAACTGCCCTACTCACTTCCCCTATCCCATCCAACCTCTAACTTTACAAATAATCAGGTGCAACATGATCTTCTCTCAGGCAATACATGTGGATATCTGGAAAACAAATTAGTAATGAAATCTGAAGTGGTTACTTATTTCTGCTCAGCAATGGTGACTAGAAAGGTGATTGCGAGATATCTGACCATAAAACCAAAGAAATATGCTGAGATGCTGGTGAAGATTCTCAGTCTTCAAGGTCAAAGTCATTCCAAAAAAGTAAAAAAAAACAAGTTTTAAGATGTTTCTCTTTCCATCAAGGAATCTTTTTCAATTTAAAATGTCAGAATTAGCGTTGAGTTTGAAGCTTTATATAGTAGCCCAAAAAGTTGTTTTGACTTTGACAACATGCAAATTGAACCAGAAGAAAGGTTCCACTCCTAGGGGCAGACCCGTTCTTCATAGACATAAATTACAGGCATCTCTTGAAGACATAAAAACCTGGATGACTCTTAACTTTCTGATCCTTAATGCAGACAAAACAGAAGTTATAGTCTTTGGACCAGAGTCTCTGAAAAAGAAGCTGATTAGCCAGTCACTTCATTTTGATGGGATTAAATTGATCTCATATAATAAAGTTTAAAAAAGATGTAGTGTTATTTTTTATCAGAACATGTAATTTAAATCTCACATCAAAGAGGTTTGTAGAATTTCCTTCTTTGATCTACAGAATATTGCAAAAATGAGAAATCTCCTGTCCAGGGGTGATGCTGAGAAACTAGTCCATGCATTTGTTACTTCAAGGCTGGACTATTGTAATTCTTTACTATCATGAAGTCCATAAACTGTAGTTAAAAGCCTTCAGCTGATCCAAAATGCTGCAGCCAGAGTTCTGATGAAAATGAAAAAGAGAGATCATATCTCTCCTATCCTGGCTTCTCTTCATTGGCTTCCTGTTAAATCCAGGATAGAATTTAAAATCCTCCTTCTCACATATAAAGCCTTAAATGGCCAAGCTCCATCTGATATCAGAGATCTGATTGTTCCTTATGTTCCTAACAGAGCACTTCGCTCTCAATCTGCAGGTTTACTAGTGGTTCCTAGAATTTCTAAAAGTAGAATGGGAGGCAGATCTTTTAGTTATCAGGCTCCTCTCCTGTGGAACCAACTACCAGTTTTAGTCCGTGAGGCAGACACCCTGTCTATTTTTAAGGCTAGGCTTAAAACTTTCCTTTTTGATAAAGCTTATAGTTAGAGTGGCTCAGGTTATCCTGAGCTATCTCTATAGTTATGCTGCTATAGGCTTAGACTGCTGGAGGACATAGGGACCCCTTTTTCATCATTCTATCTCTATTCTCCTATTCTGCAGAATCTGTTAGTTCAATCTCTAACGTTCTGCTCTCTCTGCTTTTTCTCATAGTAGCTTCACCTCGTCTGTTCCTGTTTGGCTGTGACTCCATCCTGGAGAGAAATATCAGCTGTGCTGCTGCCATCAACACCTTTGTTTATAGATGTTGCAGATCGGCCTGTTTTCCAGTGTAGTCCTGTTTCTCTGACTGTGACTAACTGGATGTGTTCTCTTCATCCTCTGACATGGGAGCCGGCTTGGAGCTTGTCTACCTGGCTGTGTATTTCCTGTACAGTGGCCCCTTGTATCTCTGCTTCTGTCTCCTTGAACCCCAGTCGGCCTCAGCAGATGGCCGCTCACAAAGAACCTGGTTCTGCTGGAGGTTTCTTCCTGTTAAAAGGGAATTTTTCCTCCCCACTGTCGCTGCAAGCATGCTTAGTGTGAGGGATTGCCTTTGAGTCAATGAGTCAATGCAATCAACTGGTTTTCCTTAGATAGAAAACTTTAAATAAATTTTACTGGATGATCTGGTGAACTGGAAAATGCCTTGAGATGACATGTGTTGTGAATTTTTGCCATAGAAATAAATTTTATTAACTGAATTTAATTAAATGGGGTTGTTTTTAACTTTTTTGTAAATATGCCTATAGAATCAGCAATGTGGGAAAAAATCAAACTTCCTCTTGTTTGGTCTGTTGGATTTAAAATCTGATCAGTTTTTTGTTGTCCTCCATCTTTAAGGCCGTCCGAGGAGATGACATCACTGTGAAGAGCTACAGGGTGGAGAGCCGCATCACTTCCCGCTTTGCTCACACCTCCATCAGAAGCTCAGTGACCAACTCAGGCTCCAGAGCTCAGAGCATCGGCTTCAGCGTAAAGATTCCTAAACGGGCTTTCATCTCCAACTTCACCATGTGCGTCCAGATGCCTCCGCCCTAAGGTCCACCACACCGCTGGGTCTCTAACTTCACCCTCTTCTCGTTCCAGGAACGTGAACGGCATCACGTTTGTCGGCTCTGTGAAGGAGAAGACTGTGGCCAGGAGACTTTACGCCCAGGCCACAGCCAGAAACAAGGCAGCAGGCATTGTCAGGTGCTGGTCAGCCAGTGTCTTCACAAAGTTCCGCTACTTTGTCTAACTAAATGCTGTCTCTGCTTTATAGGACCAACTCACAGGACCTGGAGACCTTCAACACAGAGGTCCATGTTCCCCCTGGCAGTAACATTGAGTTTGAGCTCCACTACCAGGAGATGATGGAGAGGAGACTTGGTTGGTACGAGCACTCCCTGCACCTTCAGCCGGGGAGACTTGTCCCAAAGTTCCAGGTGAGATGATTAGGACCAATGAACGCCTCTGTATGCTGAGCACTAACCTCTATCCCAACATCTTCTCAGGTGGACGTATACATTTATGAACCGAAGGGGATCTCAACGTTAGAAGTACCCAACACACTCGGAGAGCAGTTTGCAGAGCTGATTAATGTAACAAGGAGCAAAGACAAGGTAATGTTCGGAGAGAACTTGGTCTGACCATTTCAGCCATGATATACTACGGTTAGCCCCCGATTGGTGCCTCCATCATTTTGGCGTTATTAAAGGAAAAGTCCGGTCAACAAGGAATGATCAATGGATCCAGTGTTGTATTGTAACGAAGTAAAAATACTTCACTACTGTACTTAAGTATATTTTGGAGTACTTTATACTTTCCAAGAGTTTACATTTTTTTGAGAACTTTCACTTTTACTTCACTACATTTACGAACTTAATTGCATACTTTTACTCTGATACATTTTTAATGTTTGGTTTAGTTACTAAGTAAAAAAAAAACAAAAAAACAAACAAAAAAAAAACAGCGAGAGAGCGATAGAAACGCAAGTGTTTTGACTCCACCTACTGACTACAAAGTCGGGTCTTGCCTGGGCTTGTTCCCAGTAGGATACGCCTGTTTCGCAAAGCCACTCTAAATTTATCCTACACTTGGTTGTTTATATTATTTTAAGTGAATTTAACCTTCAAAGTTTACCAAAATGTAAAAAAAATGTTATTCAAACTGCACTACTTTTTACTTTTACTTTTCACTACATTACTTGAGTACATCTATTTGTACAGTAATTCTTATACTTAACTACAAGCCATTTCAGATACTTTAAGACTTTTACTCAAGTAGCATCTCAGTCAGTGACTTGGACTTTTACCAAAGTCATATTTTGGAGAGGTACTTATACTTTTACTTGACTCCGAGATTTCAGTACGTTATACAACACTGAATTGATCATTATCTCTACCTAATATTAATATGTCTGCGGTGATTTAATGAATTTAGCGTTAATCGGTAAAAATTTATTTGTAAATAATAATTTTCGTTGCGATCACTGAGTGTGGGAGGGGCCATTGTTGCTCAAATATAGTTACACCTCACTCCTGACATCTTCTGGCAGTGACGTCACGGTGCAGTAAGCCTGGCGCCATTCTCCCCGCTTTACAAGCTAAATCAGGCCCCGTCCACACGAAGTCAAAACGAACACGAAATGCTAATATTTTCCAGAACGTTTGTCTTAAAGACAGAGACGTAAAATAAATGCGATCGACCACATGAATGCATGAAAATGCTGCAAAATGTATGCCAGGCCTGTAAGTGGCGCTGTGGTGCCAAAGCAAAAATAGGCGAAAACAGGCAACGAAATGTTGGGCATGCGCAATAATATTTATACAACAACCAAACCGGAAAACCCGTAGAAGAAGAACCAAATAGAAAAGATGGTTC